GGCTGACACGAAGCAAAGCGGTGGCTTCCTGAGTCAGTGGTGGAGCCAAGGCTGGGAGCTGGACCAGCACTCTGTGACAGCAACCTTCATCAAGCAGCCCAAAAAAGCTGTGGGGTACGTCCAGGGAACAAGGAGAGGATAGCCTTCACCTCAAAGTCCTTAATTTCTATTTTTAAAGTGTGTACTTATAAATGCTGCATGTTTTTAAAATTACCTTTCTTGAGTAATTTTGTTATGTAGTGTTTCTTGTCTGTTTTTCATCATTCAAATTCATTCTAAGGGTGAAAAAAATCCGCCCTTGAAAACATTTCTTCCACAGACCCTTTTCAATATCCCCTTCAGATGGAAGAAATGCTCTGGTGTGGCTGTGTCGGGCAGCTCGGTGTGAGATCTCTTCCACCATGTCAGATACCCCTTGGGCTAAGCCAGGTTGGGGGGCATGAAGCAGAAACAGCTCTCCCACCACAGCTGCTCAGCAGCCCCTTGTCTGCAGGTCATGAGAAGCTCCCAGCTGACCGTGGAGTCTCTCTGTGCTTTTAAATTTTTTATTCTGCAAGGTGGCTGTCAGTCTCTCTTCCCCCCTTGCCAGGAAGACAGAGTTATGTCATTTTTCATTATCAGAAGCAGACTTCCATTTCAGGCATACAGAGATGAAGGAAAGCCATAAGGAAGTCCCTACCATAAATCAGGGAGCTGAGTTTTAAACCTCTGAGGAAAACAGTAAGTAGTAGGTATTGCTTACATAGGCTTTGCGCAAGCTTCCCAGAATGTAAAGCCAGAAAGAAAAAAAAAGGACCGCATGGAAGAAAATGTTTCTGGCTCTGTCATGGTTTGAGCTCAGAGGGCAACGGAGCACCACGCAGCTGCTCACTCCCCCCTTTCCCCCAGTGCTGAGAAGGAGAAAATAAAGCATGAGGGTTAGGAATTGAGATAAGGACAGGGAGGGGAGAATCACCCATTACGGTCATTGGCAAAAGGCAGACTCGTTGGGGAAAGAAAAAAACCCAATAAATTTAATACAGACACTAACAACACCACTTATCAGACAGAGTAGGACAGTGAGAAGCATTACCACATCTTGAAAACACCTTCCCCCACCCCTCCCTTCTTGCCAGGCTCAGCTCTGCTCCTGATATCTCTACCTCCTCCCCCCAGCAGCACAGGGTCAGGGAGTGGGGGGTACAGTCAGTGCTGCTGCTTCTTCCATCCTGGGGTGGGGGGGAACTTCTGGCATTCTCTTCCTGATCCAGTGTGGTCCCTTCTCACAGGAAACAGTCCTCCACAACTTTTCTCTGACTTGAGTCCCTCCCATGGTCTGCAGCATTTCCCTAGCTGCTCCGACATGGGACACCCCCATGCTGCAATCTTCCCGGTGACAAATTACAACAGTGGGGGCTGTTTCTTCCCATAAGATCCTGGCCTCCTTTGGGCACAACCACGTGCACCAGCATGGGGCCCCCCACAGACTGCAGGTCAGCATCTGCTCTACCGTAGACCTCCATGGGTGGCAGGGAGGGTGTCCCCTGCTCTCTTACCATAGGATACAGGGGGGGCTCTGCTCTGGAGCACCTCCCCCCTCTTTCCTCCTCCCTTCTTCCGCTGACCTCAGTGTTGACACAGATGTTGCAGCTCTTCCTCACAACTCCAACTCCTCTTCCCAGGTCCCTGTCATAAATATGTTATCGCAGAGGTGCAGCTAATTGGCTCAGTCTTGGTGCAGAGGTGGGTCCGACTTGGAGCTGGGGGAGCTTTGATAAGATTCTCACAAGGGGCCACCACTGTAGCCCCCTCCCCTGCTACTAAAAAACCCTCTCCATTCACTCAAACCCAGGACAGGCTCCATTTCATCCAGCTCCTCCCCATCCTTTCCCAGAAACCACCCCCACTATCCTTGGAAGGCCATTCATACAGCTGACCCTCTACCCCTTTAGGGTTTGCAAAAATTACACCATGCCATTTGCTTCCAGGGGAAACCCCAGCCAAAGGCAAGGGGAACCAGAGGGGCAAGGGAACACCACTCAAACCTCTGTGTGAAGTTCCCATTGCACATGAGGACACGGGCACAACAGATGTGGCAGAGAACATTTTCTCCCAGCCTCCTTGATCGTACAGCCCTCTGGTGTCCAAACATCCCTAGATGTAAGAGCTATTTTGCTTGAATATAACCACCTTTCAGCATTATTCTTCTTCAGTTAGAAGCTGGTGAATGTTTTGCCTAAAGCTTTTCCTGTTGAGCCCTGCAAGGGCAGGCTGACCAAAGCATGTAATGAGTTCATGATGAATCCATTGATGTCTTCACGTTAAACCAAAATAATAAAAGAAAAAATAAAAGAAAAAATTGTCATGTTTCTTTTGTCACTTTCAAAATTCAATGTTTTATCATTTCATATTAGAATGACTATCCATTTCCAGAGGTACTTCAAGGTTATTTAAATAGTATTTTAAAATGTGCAAAAAGGATTGAATCCAAATATGTAGATAAAAAAAAAAAAAAATCCAATTTGTCAAAACATTTCTAAAGTGGTAATTTCAGGTTGACCTCAAGTCACTTTCCTCCATTAACACTTGGATTTTAAGTTGGCTGAAAAACAAGCTGAAAGTCTACCCTTTCTGTCATGGCTTCAGATATTCACACACACACACACAAAAAAAAAGAGAAACATTAATTTGTTTGTTCCATACAGCTGTGAAGCACTAAGATACCTGTCCTCTGCCCTTTGGATCTTAGTACCTCCTTCCTTGGGGCTCAACGCCTGTAAGGAGAATTAGTGAAATATAAAGGGTTGGTGAAATATAGCAAACCAACAGTATGAAAGTGCGAAAATTGGTTAAGTTCAGCCATGTAGCCAAGTCTTACTTACTCGCATTTTTGCCTGCTTCTTCCCAAGATCCATGGCCAGGTGGTGTTCTTTCAGATTTCCAAAGGACACCTGACTGTATTTGCATTTGCACAAGAGCAATTGGTATTTTCACTTTTGTATCAAGTTTCCTTCATCTGTCTAAAGAGCACAAATATTACCAGGTGATGGGGGAACTTGTGACATGGCACAACTGATGGAGGCACAGTCAAGATGAGCAACTTACGTCTATGGGTCGAGGTTCTGGTCTGGCCTCCAGTCCTCCGTGGCTTCTGGGGGCTGGGCATATTTATGAACTGCACTATGTAAAATCTAACTCATTCCTCCTCCTCCAGGCAAAATCTTGGCTTCTGTCTCGTCTGTCCTTTCCTCTCTCTCTTGCAGAAGGCAGACGAGACCTGTAAGTTGAATGATGTGCTCATATTGCTTTTATTGAACGCTTGTAATTCTGAATGCAAATGGCACTTTTCATACATGAACAGAAAAAGGACTAAATTCACTGGATAAATTATTCACAACAGATAATTCAACCTGCTCTCACGGGAGAGTGCAATGAATGTCTGATGATGTTAAAAAAACCCCCCACAACTACTTTTTCCAACCGCTGAAGTCAATGGCAAAACCTTTTACTGACTTCAAAGGGAGCAGAACCTAGCCCCAAGCCAGAGGGCCCACATAGGACTTCTCTTTTAGTGGTTCCCACTTGCACTTAGAGCTAAAACCCAGACAAGCATTTATGTTTTGAGGAGCCCAGACTAATGCTGTAGAGTAGAGTTGGGCTGCCAGGGCCCGTGCATTATTGCAGCCCCGGCTGAAAGCAGGTCTGCTCCGCAGCCATGGTGCAGACCACTGCCCGCAAGCTGAAATAAGCCCGCCGCAGGAGAGAGCCAGGGTAGAGGTGGTGTTTAGTGAGCCTGGAGTTCAGGGCGGGTTAATTCCGCCAGGTTTGTCTAGTTTGGAGAAAAAGAGCCTGAAGGGAGATCTCATTGTTCTGCACAGCTTCCTGAGGAGGGGAGGTGGAGAGGGAGGTGCTGAGCTCTTCTCCCTGGTATCCAGTGACAGGACACGTGGGAATGGTTCAAAGCTGTATCAGGGGAGGTTTAGACTGGACATCAGGCAGCATTTCTTTACTGAGAGGGTGGTCAAACACTGCAACAGGCTTCCTGGAGAGGTGCCTGTCAGTGTTTAACAGCCCTAGACAATGCCTCTAGTAATATGCTGTAACTTTTGGTCAGCCCTGAAGTGGTCTGGCGGTTGGCTTAGGGGACTTTTGTAGATCCCTTCCAGCTGAACTGCTTCGCTTTGTTTCTGTCCTATTCTATTCTATTCTATTCTATTCTATTCTATTCTATTCTATTCTATTCTATTCTATTCTATTCTATTCTATTCTATTCTATTCTATTCTATTCTATTCTATTCTATTCTATTCTATTCTATTCTATTCTATTCTATTCTATTCTATTCTATTCTATTCTATGATAGATTTGCAGGCAGTGAGGGGCTTTGTGACCAGGGTGCCACCTGCCACCCCAACATGGCTGTGGTGCTGGTTGTCACCCTTGGTGGTGGCTCACCGTGGCCAAGATTTGGGATGTCATGACTGTCTAGCGGACACAGGGTCTGGGAGGAGGCTTGTGTGGGGGCTGCTGCCGTGCTTCCCCCCGCCAGGGCAGGGGAGGTGAGTGGAGCGAGGGCCGGGCTGTGCTCCAGGTTGTGCCCCCGCTCCCCTCTGGTCCCCGGCAGTGGGGGCAAGCGGCCTCAGGCGCTGGGAAGAAACAAACCGGGACATGGGGACTACGAGCGTCGTTCTGGTGAGATGAGAGAGGGGGGAGCAAGGGGCGGGGGCGATATTAGCATCTCTAGCCTCTGCCCCCGAGGGTATGGACCTCCTGGGCTTGGTCTGGGTGTCCCATGTTTCCATCCGTCTGTCCCTGCCGTGTGGTGCATTGTCACCTGCAGCCTGTCCGTCCGTCCCCCCCCCCGTTCTCTCGGCGCTGCCGGTGCTTCGCCGCATTTCCCATCGGATGGTTTCAGTCACGCAACCTCCGTGGTCTACAGCGCTGCGTGACTGCGGCGGGAGGACACCGATGCAAAACGCTCTCGGAAATCAGAGCTGAGCTCTGCCTGCCCGGCTGCCCGCTGGTGGAGCCGCGACGCCCTCCCCGGGGCACCGGGGAGCCTGGCTTTGCGTGGGGGGAGAACGGGAAGCAGAGGGGCTGTGACCCACCGGCGGGGCCGTGGGCTGCAGGCGGGCGAGGAGAGCGGGCCCACCCGCGGCCACCCCCGCCGGACCCCGCGGGGCGGGGCGGGGGGGGGTGTGTGTGTGTGTGCGCGCCTCCCCCCTCATGCAGGCCCGGCCCGGCCCCGGCCGCAGGAGGAAAGGGGTTAAGTTATGTAAAGCCCTTTTGGGGAGGGGTGGAGGCAGGGGCGCTGCCGGCGGAGCTGCGGCGGCTCAGGTTGGCTCAGAGCGGGCGGCGGCGGCCTGGCGCAGGCCCGCGGCGGAGGAAAAGCGGCTTATCCCCCCCCCCCCCCCACCGCCACCCTCCGTGTTGCCATGGAGACGGGCGGGCGGCGGCGGCGGCGGCGGCGCTGTCAGTGAGGGATCGCACCGGGCACCGGGGCGGCGGCGGCGGCGGAGGGGAGGCCGCGGCGGCGGCGGCGGCGGCGGGCAGCGGCAGACATGGACTCGCAGTGCGACTGTGCCGAGCCTCCGGCCGCCGAGCAGCCGTCGGGGAGGATTAACAAAACCGCCTTCAAACTGTTCAGGAGGAGGAAATCCGGGGGCACCATGCCGAGCATCTTCGGGGTGAGGAGCAAAGGCGGGGAGGGGAAAGGCGCCAGCAAAGCGGGGATGGTGCGGAGCCGGACGCACGACGGCTTGGCCGACGCCGTGCTGGAGAGCGGCAAGAAGGAGGAACCGGGCGGCGGCGACCCGCAGAGCAAGGAGGCGCAGGGCCGGCCGGCCGGCAGCCTCGGCGTCTCCCCCGGCGGCTCGGTGGCCAAGTCGCACAGCTTCTTCGCCCTGCTGAGGAAGAACGGCAGGCCGGAGAACGGCAAGGCGGAGAGCGCGGAGCAGCGGGCTGGCGGCAGACAAAAGAAGGGGCTGAAAGGGATCTTCAGCAGCATGCGGTGGCATAAGAAGGACAAAAATGGCAAGGAGGAGAGGGGGGAAGCCTCGGAGATGCCGTCCGGTCTTATTATGCCGGGGTCTTTGACTGCCAGCCTGGAGTGCATCAAAGAGGAGACGCCAAAACCTTTGTCTGAAACTCCGACCAGCGCAGGAGACCCCGGGCTGGAGCCGCCGCGGGAGAAGCGCGGAGGCGAGGCGCACGCCTCGGCCGGGGAGCCCGAAGCGGGCGGGGGGGAGCCGCGGCCCCGCAGCCCCCCGCCCCGGGAGGACCCTGCCGCGGCTGGACGGCGACCCGAGGAGCTCTGCCGCCAGCGACCGGAGCCGGGCGCCGGAGAGGTTGGGACTGCGAAGGATGCGGCCATAACAGGTGACATTCCAATAACGACTATCCCCCTTGTTGAACCTCACTGTGATAGCGGTCAAGAGACGGCAGCCGCCCCTGACCCTTCCTCTGTTGATCCACCCTCAGAGCAATCGATTGATCGTATTTGTTTGATGTTTGCTGACGTGACTTCACTGAAAAGCTTTGACTCTCTTACAGGCTGCGGAGATATTATTGCGGACCATGAGGAGGATGTGGGCGGCGGGAGTGGCGGCTGCGAGAAGAGCACCCCCGGGCCCGGCAAGCTGGGTGTCTCCAAGAAGCACCCCACCATGGTGGCCTACCAGGGAGGAGGGGAGGAGATGGCCAGCCCGGACCAGGTGGATGACACCTACCTGCAGGAGTTCTGGGATATGCTGTCGCAGACAGAGGAGACCCAGACAGAAGGAGGAGGAGGAGGAGGAGGAGGAGGTGGAGGTGGAGGAGGGACAAAGAAGCCCGAGGGGTTGAAGGAGAACCGAGGTACCCAGGGGGCCCAGAACAGGGTGGCGGTGAAACGTGGTGGCCTCCACCAGATTCCCGTTCACCTCAACCACAAAGAGGAGCAGAAGGGTAGGGAGAAGGAGCAGCACGAAGGCATCCCAAACAGCGACGAGGGCTACTGGGATTCCACCACCCCGGGTCCTGAGGAAGATGGTTCCACAAGCATCCAGAAGGAGACCATTCCCAGGGACAGCTACAGTGGGGATGCTCTCTACGACCTCTACGCCGAGCCGGATGAGAACCCACCAGCAGGGCCCGTGGATGAAGAGGTCACCTGTGTGCCACGCTCCAAGCCCGTGTCTCCGATAACGACCACGTGCTCACTGAAAACACCCTCAAGCACAGTGAAGGACTCCAAGATACCCATCAGCATTAAACACCTTTCATCGCATCCTGCCAGCCATGGAGCAGACGCCAGTAACAGCCATCACATCGCACACCATCACCTGGCCAAAAGCGAGATGCACAGAACAAAAATCCCTGTCTCTAAAGTACTGGTACGCCGGGTCAGTAACAGGGGCTTAGCAGGGACAACAGTGAAGGCTGCCACATACCAGGACAGTGCGAAAAAGTAGTTGAGTGGAGGTGGAGACAAAGATGAACAGCAAGGACGATGCATGAAAGTCTGCGTAGGAGACCACAGAAAACGAATTAGTTTTGCATCACCTGAAGAAAGGCACCTAAAAGGCTTACTTCACTGTACTCCATAGGCCTGCACTTCCAAATCCCTTCTTACTAGACAGTGTGACTGAATATAAAAAGTCGACTTCTTTTTGAGCACTTTTTTTTTTTTACATTTGTATCTTTTTTCTGCAGCACTAAACACTGGGGAGGTTCATTTTTACATGCCTTTTTGGAAGCAGGACTTGGATTATGAACCTAAATGAGCATCCTTCCTCACGCAAAGCAGTGCCATGAGTTCTTCAAGGGAACAGAGTTACAAAAGGAGCAACACGAGAGGTTCTCCAATACGCTTCTCTTTTAATCATTTCTGGGGGAGGAGTGGAGGGTGGGTGCCTGGCTCCGAAAATGGTGTTTGCTCTACAAGATGTTGGAAAAAATGCCAAGCAAAAAACAACCAACCTAACAGGTATTTTACCTGCTGTAGGAACGAGAGCACTGCTCAGCAGCAGAGTTGATTGACTTGTGTGCAGGAGCTAACTAAGGAGTTAGATGGACTTGTCTAACAGGAAAACATATTTTTGTTTGTCCGTCTGTCTGGTTGGTTTTGATCTGGTCTAATGTAAATGGGTAACAGAGACACCTGACGTAGGTTCAGATGTTTACATCAATACTTGTCCGAAAATGCATACAATCAGGTTCAGGGAAACATTTTACTAAATGCCAATATATACACACTGTTCACATTTATACAATAACTTGCTCGCCATGTGTAAATATATACATATTTTAGTAGATTTACTCAATGCTACAAATTTTTTTATATATAAAAAAAAAATCACCTGTCTGTATTATCTAGAGTTTAAGCAAGAGTTAGTTTTTATAGGTAGATAATCTTACGGTTCTAAAATGATAGAACTTTGTGTAAGTACCTTAAATTAGAGCAAAACTCTGTTTTGTATGGGCTCATGCATCCCCAGATAAGTAAGTCTGAAGTGCTGATTTTATTCCAGTGGCTCATTCCATGGGTCAGGCTGAGGTTCTGACAGCATTGCCACTGCAAGCCTCTATTTTCAGGGGTTTGGACAAAGTTGCTCTGGGCTTAAACCTTAGAGAGAAGGAACCCAGGAAAGAAACGTGTTTTTTAATTATTATTTTTTAAAATATATAAAATTAGTTTTTGACTATTTAAAGAAAGTTTGGGTTCTCATTGCTTTTTATTTTCATTCCTAATAATGTCAGAATAATTTTACTTTAAGAGAGAAAAAGAAATATGGTAAGCTAGTGGTACATAAAATGGTCTGATGAGCTTAGATCTTAGGAGAAATGTATTAATGGCCAGGACACTTTTGAATGGTGGCTACTGTACATGGGCATTGACAACATTTCAAAGAAATTTAATAGGGTTTTAATGTGCCTGAGGACATATTTTTGTGATACACTGAAAAAGCTTCAAAAATCACTGAAGTCTAAAGGTAAATGTTATGTATTTACAAAATATTTTGATATGAGTATTTAATCATCAGACCACAGTTAATATAAAATATATGCTCCAGTGTATCTGAAAAATAATATACATTTTAAAAATATACATGTCTATATTATGCAGGGAATCCTAAATTCACATCATTGAAGCTAATGGGTCTGATCTTACATAGCAGTTGGTTTTATTGTCTCTTAAACTGAAAGAAGAAAAGGAAAATAAATATACAGAATATACATTTGAAGGATATTAAGGTTATAGATAAACCATAAAAAGCCAGGAAATACCATACTAAGAATTGTATATGTGTATATGTGTGGTTCACTGGGGAAGGGACACTGTAGTCACGAGGGTAAAATTGGCATCTAGTTCTGAAATTACTGCAGGATTTAATACCGAACTGCAGTGCCCCAGTGGATAGGGACAAGGTGTCGGTTTTCCCGATCAGTCCGTTTTCATGGTTTGAGTAAGAACCTTAATACACTTCAAAGAAGATTATTTTATATGTTTCCTTTCCAATGTGTATGTGTGTGGTTTTCTACCTGCCTCCTCGCAGACGTGTTGTACATATGCATGTGTAGTCAGAGCGCGCCTCCTCCGAGGGTACGGGCACCCGGGCGAAGGCGCACGCCCGTGCACACCCGCGCTCGGATGTGGACAGGGCCATGCGTGCACGCTCCCAGGCACAGGCCGAGGGGGTGTGCACTAGGTCTGGCTCCAGACACGCTGGCGGTGGTTTCCTTTGCCTGAGAAGGGGATTTGCATTTGGCCTGACTCTGCTTGTGCGTTTTAGAAAGCTTAAAGCTGAAATGCTCTCGAAAGGATGAATGTACAGAACATGGAGTATTATCCTGGTCCTCAGCCCTAAACCTAACATTCTTTTTTCTGTTCTTTTGTTTTCATTTGACTGTAAGGGACGCATCTTTCCTTGCATGACAACTCTGCAGAAAAATCGTAATTCCCCATTTTATTGTAAGGACAAATTGTGCAGAGAGATTCTATAGGATACTGGAAGTTGAGAGGGAGGGAGGATGTTGTGAGCTGGGGGTAGTACCATAAAAACTGGAAGCACTGAGTACAGGTAGTAGGAGTGGTGCATCTTTTAAACCACTAGAAGATATCAGCTACCGTCTACAGGACTTGTGTGTGGCAAATTATTCATCATGTGCATTTTGTTTGCACTGTGGCATGTCTGTATTGCAAAACCAATAGAGTGACACTAGACTAGCTCCCCCTCACGTAACGACTAACACGAATCATCATTAAAATGCTTTGGCTTCCCATCATTTTTTTTTTACCTCTCTCTCCTTTGTTTTCTGCCCCGTTTTCCCTCCGTCCCCTGCATGCTGGCGGGCGGCTTCTTCCCCGGTGCTAACCCCGGGTGCGGAGCGGGGAGCCCTGGGGTGGGAGGGTGACCGCGCTGCCTGCCGGGGCCAGGTGCCCCCCAGCTACCCTCCCAAGCTTTCTATCGCATACCCAGTGTAAGTACATTTTGCAAATCTCTTGGCAGTTCATTTGGCTGCTTGCTGTGTACATATTTTAAGGACAATCATATCCATAAAAGGAAAATGGGAAAGTAGCTTGTAGTAGGGCGTCAGTATTTTGAATCATTGCGACATACTGACGTTGATTCAGGGTAATGGTTGTGTGAGAGTAAAAATACAATGTAATGCTCAGATTAACTTTGTATTTATACAACTCACTTTTGTCTTTAAGCCATCTATGGTTTTTATTTCTAAAGGTAATAGAAAATTTAATACTTACTAGGGCTTTCAATTTTCATGGAAATATATTTGTATAACTCCACTCAATGCCCAAGAACAATCACTGGAAGGAGGTTCAAAGGCTTTCTTTAGACGTATATTTAATTCTTGAAAGATCCCTGTAAAATACTGTGAGATGCCTAAGAACAAACAGTTAATGGCTTTGCTGGATTTAAAGGCTGAGACGTGAAGAGGTAATAGTCCCGGGGCATTCTGTGGTGGTTTGCATTCTTATTTATGTTACCCTGTTCAAGCATATATTTTCCTTGGCTTTGATAGGTATCAAGGTAGAAATGATGTTCTGAGTCCCAAACATTCCCAATGCTGTTGTCATTTTGCTTTTCTTAAAGAGTACTTCTCTTCATTTGTTTTGTTATTTTGTGGTCTGAATGATGCTTTGTAATTATCAGCTTGTATGTCATTCATAAAGGATTTTATAGATCAGGACTTGGCATTTAGTTATATGTACTCTTTGCACTTTCAGGTCACTACTGGTAAATTTTGTATGTTCTTAGGATATTTCTATATATTGCATAGTGTTTTCTAGCTATCTGCAGTGATTTCAGTGGTATACATTCCTGCCCTATATATCAGCACAAAATATTTCCTTTTGGTAGCACGAAATGATGTTTTTCTGGACTTCTTTTGTCATGATAGGAGTTAAGTTTCCTGTACTATATGTGTGGCCTGCAACAGACTTAAAGGGTCTTATTTTTCCTGTAGTGAATATGAATTTTGCTCTTGCCAATAATAGGACTCAAACACACGTAGCAGATTTCAGAAGAAATTCCATGACTAGAATAAGAAAAATCTATGTTCAATCTTATTCCATCAATCACCAGCATTTTCTTCATCCACTGTGAATACCCTCACTGCTATTCAGGGTAGTAGAGGACTGGATTTTAAAAATTACATGCCTAGATGTACACTATGAAAATTAATTCGCTGATTATTTTTTAATGAATCATACTAAATTATTTATCTAAGCTAAGTGAATATTGCACCAAAGTCTTCAAAACGTCTGATACAGATGGCATTTTCAGTAAGATGCTATAAGTGCAGATAAGCCAAATTAACAGCCTTTGCTCAGCAAAGCAAAACCTTGTTGATTCTTAAATTTGTAGTACTGACTGAGCTTGAAGATCAAAGGGAGCCACTGATTCTGCCTACATAGCCATGCTTGAAGGTTTTTTTTTTCCATGCTCTAATGGACTACTTTCAGAAAAGGCTTTTCAGCAAGATAATGGTATGAAAGAGACAGTTCACAGTAACAATAGCCACTTACAAGGCAGATGGTTATCTAACAGCCACAATGGGGGACTCTAAGCAAGGTGGCCTGAAAATGTATTTTCATAGTTACTGATATGAAAGGCTGAGGCTTCTGTCTTGGAAAAACAAATTGACACGGACTCAGAGATGCTGCAGGAATGAGTCTTGACACAGTTTACATGTAACAGCTTCTGCAGGGTTTGTTTGTGTTTTTTTTTTTTTTTTTTTTTTTTTTAATTTATTTTGGCTTTTCCTTTTTTCTTTTTTTTTTTTTTTTGTTCATTTGTTTGCTTTTTTTTTGCTTGTGCTTTGTTTATGTTTTTATTACGATGACATAACCCTAGGTGTCTGAGCAGAATTGCACAACAACTGACCCTTCTGAGATTCAATTCTGAGAATACACTGTCAGTTGTCTTCAGCAGCTGGGGACTGGTTCTAGCTGAACATCCCTCCCTTCCATTGCGGGATGGGAGGTATGGGATGATGGGATTCCCTTGACATGAGTCTGTGTGCTGCTTACTGTGACCGGGAGGTATCTGAATCTGTCTTGCTGTTTGTGTTCAGGAGGTAGTTTATTTTTAATTTGACTCACAGGAATTTTTTTAGCTCATCATTAGCTCACATCTTGTCTTCCTTGTGAGCACCTTGGCATGGAATGGTCAGCACTGATTTGGTGTTTCCTAGGTCCCTTTCATGTAGGCAGAAATGGAAGAACTTGTCATATGCGAAGGAGTAAGCGCTATAACCATTTGAGCCACGTTCTGGGGGTTTTTATTCCTGCAAATGCAGGTTGTTAAAGCTCTTCTTGCCTCAGAGGGCTTCTCCATCCAAAACAGTGAGTACTGTTGCCTGTGACTCCTTTTTTTTTTTTTTTTTTTTCCTCTCTGTTTCCCATTCCCTCTCAGCCATGCTGCAGTTGCTTGGGAGACTGAGATTTTTGATCTAGCCTTCCAGCACTAGAAAAGAGGAGCTGCTGCCAGTGTGTTCTTCAGGAGGTCTTTGCTCCTACTTCTTGGTCTTGAAAAAATTAATTCATGTTCAGAACAAGCAGCAAAGATATTTAAAATGGAGATCTCTGCTGTATGATCTCATACACGTGGGTGAAGATATTGAGTGATATTTTGCATAGAGTGGAATATATCCCTCCGCTTTTCCTGTTGTGGACAATTTAGCAAATCTAGCAGGGAAGCCTGTCACTCTTGTAGGAAAGCCCAGAAGCTGTTTGTTATGGAGACTGTGCCCAGATTTCCTTTATCTTTAGTAAGAACTGCTTTTCTTTTTTCCTTTCTGTACATATTTAAATAAATAGAACCAAAGTTTTGATGGAGAGAGGAAAAGGTTAAGTGCTTCACAGGGCAAGGAGTTTAAACAGCTAGGCTGAAAGGCTTCTTGTAGCAGTGGCTAAAAGAAGAAGATTGCTTTGCCTACTTCAGCATCACATCCAAGCAATGCTTTACAATAGAAGCTAATCCAGCTATGGCCAGAAAGTTAGAAAACCGGCATTTGCCAACATGACAATCTCTTTCCAAGGTCCAGTTCTGCGGTGACAAAGCTTCCACTGAGTCCAGTAAGAACTGGAGAAGGTCCTTGATCTCTTAATCTTAAGGAAATAGGAAGTGTTTCTTAAATAAGTCTTCCTTTTTTTGTAAAGATGAACATTATTCAGGTGATTGTGCAGTCTTTTATATTACTCTAGTAGTATTTTCACTGAGCTGAATGCAAAACATCTTTCCATTGTTTTTCCATTTTAACAAGCAGCCACTCCCACACATAATGCCAGTGCTCAGCATGTTTAAATTACAGCTAATACACTCACTGCCTTCCTTAATTTAACCTGTGATGATAAAACCAGGATCAGATCCTTTTCAGTGCACTAAAACCCTGGCTTATTGTGGTGGTGTTCGTGTTTTTTGATACGGTAACTAATGATGCCTCCCTTTAATTATTACACAGCCACGTTTTAAATCTGTTTTTAGGGAAAATGGTATGTAGGGACTGAATGGTAAGATCTTTAACCAATTTTTATTATTTTGGATGGTGTTGCATCAAAACAGTTGCTATTTCAGTATCAGGTTGTTTCCATGGGCTTTTTATACAGATGCATTGGAAGCTTTGAACATAATGTGCTCGTAAAAGGAAATTTGCTACATCTGCTTTGAATTAAGCCTGACCTTAAAATGTAAAAGCTACACATCTGGTGATGTTTCTTAGTTAATGGCAGCAAAGGGAAAGGTCTGCCCCAAGTCACCTGCACCCCGTGGACTGGGGGAGCAAGGCACTGTCCCCAGGAGAATTTGCTGCCTGTTTCAGCAGAGGGGTGCGGGGGATCACCATGAAGTGTCTGCCAGGTTGGATGGCAGCAGGAAAAGCTAGGGTTGTGGTGCTGTGCTGGGGTGGGAGGGTTGGGAAGGTGACTGGGAGATGGGCTGAAAGCAAGGGCTGGACCTCTGGTTCTTGTGGAAAAAGAGAGTTAAACATATGCGGGTCAAATCTGGCTCCTCTTTTTCTTGCAGTGATGCTCGGATTGCTGTGTCACACTGAGTTAGGAGCCTGACTGTGGGAGTCTGGGCGTGCTGAAGCCAGTGCTCCTGCCGGTGGACTGCAGTGTGACCGCTCGCATCAACACCTGAGCAGTGCCCAGTGCCTTCGTTTCTGAAGGCAGTTTTAGCACAGAGACTTCCACAAATCCCCCATAGCACAGCACTGACCCAAGGCATCTCATTGCGCTTCCCTCCTCATTTTGCCAGGGGGATGTGAAGACCCAAGCCCTTGGCAGGGTGGTGAGCACTGGCTGCACCCTTGCAGCCTGAGGGCAAGTGGGGAGGGAGTGTAAGACACGCTGTGCAGCAGCACCACCAAGTCCTAGGTAGAGCGCAAGTCATTTTCTGCAGCATGTGGCTTGGTAAAAGCAATGTTATCCTGCTTTTCAAAAGAGGGAGCAAGACTAAAGCTGTTGCCTTTGTGCCAAGTTGAAGTAAATCCTCTGCCGTGGGACGGATTGCAACAGTTGGGCAATATCTCAGACCACCAGTATTTCCTCTGAAATCAGTGGATCTCTTAGCAGTGTGGGTTGTTACTAAGATTGAGTGAAGGTCCCATAATTTGGCCTCATCTGAATTGTCCTTGCTATGTTTGTCATCAGAGTCTGTCTCAGAAAAGATCTAGTGTTGAGGCTTGTGGCCCTGTTGAAATGGGGGATGAGGTATGAATGTGGTTGGTGGAAAATGCAGATTCAGTAAGTCCAGAAAATACAGCATGGCTTCGGTCTTCTATCACAGCCCAACTCTGCTTAAATATCATGGTGTGCCTGAGGAAAACATAGCAGGGACTGCTTCACGCTGCATCTGACAAACTGATGCTCTTGGGGTTTCCTACGTGCTGAAAGGGACAGATGTGTCCTGTTACAAGTCACTTAGCCTGTTTCTGTAAGATGTGTTATAGCTGACAGATCACTGTTAATTACAATTTTCCCTCGTATTTTTTGTATCAGCCACCTCCAGTAAGGTAGCATATGACCTATTCAAGATAATGGGCAAGTAAAGCCGGAATTCCCCATTCTTCTTCTCTAAATGGTTTGCTATTAATCTGGCAAGTCTGTGTGCACCAACTTTTTCTTAGTGAAAGCTCACAACACTCTGGGGGGTGTTTTTATAAGAGACTGTTAGACACACTCTGCTCCTTTCCACCTCTACAAACTTCGGTGAGTATGTCTCCTTGAATCACTCTATTCTTAACGTATTTACAACCTGATAGCAATAGATGTCTTTCTTCCCTGGCAGTTCACAAGGATATACTAATCAGTGTTTATTATATTTTTAATTCTGTAAATATTTATTTTGGTACTCTGTGTATTTATTGGCACTGATTCTGGTGTTTGCTTATGTGTCATTGTAAACGTTGATGGTTTCAATAGTCTTGCTTCTAATGAATGTAAGGAACTCAGACTAACTGCACTTTTCTTCCATTCAAAAATCTTACAGTGAAAAATATTCCCACTGTCATATTATGTGTTATAATGAATACGATTAATAAAATCAGTTGTCACTTTTCATTGGTGAACGTGAAGATTACTTTTTGATGTTCAAGCTAGAGATAGAGCCAATCTGTTCAGTGCAGTGGAAAATACTAGGCTTTTGAAAGCAAGACATTAGGGAATTATGTCCCCAAAATAGCATAAAAGAGAATACTTGGGCATGTGTGCACTTTAATTTTAATGTAGAAATGCCTTTAGCAATTTTACTAATAACATCGTAGAATAACTAGACTAAATTCGTTACTTAGGGGAGGGCTTTCATAAATGAGAGTTTTGGACCTCTGGTCTTCTGTTTCATCAGCATGTGTTTTGTTTTTGTTTTTGTTGTTGTTTCCCCCCCTTAAACTACTTAGACAATGGAAATGGACCGAGTTTCATTCCGTTTTTCAAATCAGCTTTGCTTCCTGGTTCTCATGGTCGGAAGCCAGCAGGGAAGCTGGTTCTCTTGGCACAAATTGACTTTGGAGTTGCAGTTTTGGTGTGACAGCTAGAAAATGCAGTCTGCCGCAAGCTACATTTCCCACCTTTATAATGGGGACCTGACTACTAACGTGATTATGAAGTGACATTTATTAGAACCTCTGTTTTGCAACTTTCTCTAAATTTCTTGCATTTAGAAGATGCATAAAGCATTTGCATCAGTCTAGTTTTAAACGTTATGTTTATTTACTTCACTTAGCTAAGTAGCACTACCTTGCTAAGGGTTATCTCATGTTACTACTTGTCCACAGAAGATATTGAACCAGCCAGAATATGAACTGACATAAAATCTACTCAGAAGTTTTCAAGAAACAACAAAGCAAAAGGTATGAAAAACTCATTATGCAAGTAAGGAGCGGGACATGGTGACAGAGTATAAATTGATCCTATGTTCACAGAAGCATAACTCCTCTTTCCAATAGCTGGAATGAGGCTGAAGAAATGTTTTCCCAGTTATTTAATGCATAAGCAATCTTACATTCAGGCCTTCTTAGCCTATGTCCCCTATTGCATGTTCGTGTCTTTTATCTTATGCATCTGGAAGCAGAAGAGTTGTGGTTTAAATTATTCCCTGCTGCAGAAGATTGCCTAGGGATTACCTTGCTTGTGTTCAAGTATAACTACTGGGATTTTGGGGGGCAAAGTAAAGTACAGGGCAAAAGTATAGCAACGTCATGAATCTTGATAACTGTAGATCTGTGTGATGAAGCTGTTAACACCTTCCACAAAATCAGATACAGTAGCCTGGCAAATCCACTGTGATGGAAAAAATTGAAAAGTCTCCCGAAACAAGGAGACTTGGCCCAAATACTCTTTTTGAAATCAAGATGAAGAGGCTGAGTTTCTAATATTGAGTTAAAAGTCCCCTCCCAATTAAAACCATTCCGAACAGTACATCTCTATGATTTCCATGGCCACCTTACTGGAAAAGTGTTTGCAATGGGAGTGATGACCTGGAAATCTCCCTGTGACCCATTTGTTGAAGATGAATGCTCCATCCAATTTGCAAATCTATCAGGCAAGAAGAAGAGAATATTCTTGACTCCTAGTAATTGCTGAGGAATACCGGCAAGACCAATGAACCGGTCAACTGACTGTGAGTACTAGTCTCATTTTAAATCCTTTCCCTTGAATCATGGTATTTTTCCCTTTCAAAGTGATCATACAGGAGTTATTTACTAGGAGCTCACATTGAGCAGACGCCTGCTCCTACCTACCACGGTGCACATCTGCTTCCAATTAAAACCATTCCACAATGCCCTGAGGGGGATGGGAAGGAAGCTCAAAGGTTCTGCAAAGGATTATTTCAGCAGTCACGGATGCTGCTGTGGCAGCTGAGAACCTGCTTCATCTCTAATGACACATCACTCCTTTTGCTCTGCAAAGACCCTTAGCACTTGGCTCAGATATTCGGTTAAATCCTGGGAACAGGAGGTCTCTTGTTCTGACGAACGAAGGAGACTTGTCCTTGGCCAATATGTGTGTTTTTTCCATCTTCAGAAAAATTAATATTTCTTAAAAGATATAGATGGAGTCCCATAGCTACTATTCTAAACAGAACAAGACAAACACAAGGAGTCTGTTGAAGCACAACTCCCCACAGCTACTCCAAAGACTAACAACCAACCCATGCTGATGCTGCGTCCCTACGCAAAGACCCTTCACAAAGTGGCTCTATGCAGCACTCCCACATGAATCCCAGGTAAGATGACCTAGAGCCAAGGGTTGCCACCAGAGGGGAAGGGAGGGCTTGTGCCTTCCAACAAAACACTGGTCTGGACCAAGGAGGTCCAAGTCCCTCTTCCACCACTTTCCTGATTTACAGAAGGCTGCAGGTACCACATTTTAAAGTCTGGTCTACAAAATCAGCTGCACCTAGCCGTGGTGTTGCTCAGAATTTGTGGTCTGAGGTTTTATGATAAAATTTCACTATCACTCAAGCGCCTGCACCGGGCAGGCTCAAAAGCATCGTGTGGCTGGGTCTGCTCTCCCATATGTCATGGTGGGAGTCATGGACAGGCTCTTCTTCCAGCCACGTCAGTCTTCTCTCTTGGGGTCACCTGAAATTCATGGGTCCCTTGGGCAGAGGGGAGACTTGAGTAAAGATCCTCTGGGTAAAGGTCCCAAATCAGCAGAAGCTGACTGGGTAGAAGTGCACTTCAGCATCATGGAGGTGGTGGGAGAGGTTGAGGCAGCTAAACCTAGGGCAGCCTGAAGCCTTGCAGGCAGCTGTGTTCTCTCCTGCTTCACGGGGAGATGGCTGCCCCCAGAACACCTACATGGCTCAAGGTGCTTCAAGAACATATTCAGCTGTAGGCCACCGCAGCATGGGAACAAATGGTGCTGAGCTCCCTTGCGTGGAGCTGGGAACCTGCAGGGAGACATGCAGAATGCAAAGTAAACAAAAATCCTATGACCAAACAGTATTTTAAGGACAGAAATTATGCTAGATCTGTCCTGTTCCTGCCCAGCTCCATTTGTTCCCCTGTAAAGATGAAAACACAACCTAATTTTGCAACAAAATAGATTTGAATAAATAAAGGCAAATGTGTCTTAGTAAATATGAGCAGTGAAAAACCTGCTCTTGATTATGGCTGCGAAGATACTGGCCACAATCTAAAGTGGATATGAAAAAAAACATCTGTTCTACTAAAATGATATAGAGGATCAGGAAAATGATGTTAACAAAAATCAAATGGATTGTTCTGAATATTTCTTAAGAAAAAGTAGATAAGAATTCAGCTAGCTTTGGTCTGTCTTTACAGTAGGGATATATTACATCTACATGTGTCTTTCTCTGAGTTTCTGCCCTTCACATTCTACACTAATAGATTTTGTTTACTGACAGATAACAAATTGTACAAAAATGCAGCACTTACAGTGAAGAAATCAATCCTGCTATTCTCTTGCTTATAGATGTCTTTTTTTTCCTCATGTTAGCAAATCAAGCTTTTGATCCTTCCAATTAGACCATATCCAGTCATTATCATGCCACATTTCATGTCTGATTACGCAGCTGCTGCATCTAAACAGCTTCATTCAAATCAGTAAGAAATGCTCATATGCAGTAACTGCAGAAATGGTGCTTGCATCCTTTGCAGAGCTGCCTATTGCTTCTTTCTCAGGGGCTTAGAATATTTATGTCTATTATCATTAAATGATGTTGAATTTGTCTGTTTGGTTGTTTTTTTTTGTTTTGTTTTGTTTTTTTCCTAGGGTCTGATAGAAAACCCTAGCTATAGATAGAAAACACCAACCATAAATCTGCAAGACTTATGAAAAAACAGTTGGACCACATTACACAGTTAACTTGTCTATGCCGGATCTTAATTTTCTCTCAAGATGTAACATGTATTCAGACTGATTTAAAATAAATGACTGTATTGGAAAACAAAACAGACATAAGAGTACAAGCATAAAGGCAAATGTCAGCCCCTGGCTCTGAAATGACTAGGACCCTCAATCCAAGCTATGAAACCTTACATTTCTGCCTCAGCTCAGGCAAACACACAGCACTATTTATAGCACAGCCTTTTACTACCCTTCTGTTAGAATAGGCTTCATCGGAGGATTTACATGACTAACCAAAAGCAAAAGCCTTTTGTACTTCATTTCCACAAGGGAAGGCCAGTGTGAAGCTGGTGTTCACTGGGCTGAATTACAGAAAATATCAGTTACTAGAAAACCAGTTACTAATTCAAAGGCATCTGTTACCATGGCATAGGTCTCTTCTTCCCTCTCCATGCCCCAGATTTAGCACCAATGATGGGAGCTTACTGAAAGCTCAAAAAGAACAGTTCTTACCTCTGAAAAATAAAATGCATAGTCAAGGAAGACCACATGTTTTCATGGCAACTAAGGAGTGAAGGGTTAAGACCTAGGAGATGGCTCTGAACCAATAAACAGCACAAAAGACTCTTATTAGCAAATCAAGAGCCCAATGTGCTCTCATTTCCCCCTTGTATCTTCAATTAAACCCTTTGGGCCACAAAGTTACTGTTCCTGCCAAGGCCAACAATCAGCATGAGGTGATTATTTTAGATTCTGCTACATACCCTGAAGTCTCGTGAAAATGAAAATCAACCCTCCCTTCACCCTTTGATACGATTTCCAGGGCAGGGCAGGCCCATCAGCTAGTCCCCATCCTTTAATCTCACTATGCCAGCTGCAAGCATCCAGGCTTTCCCCAGAGATGCCACTTTCTCACAGATGTGTACCTCCTCCTGCCTTCCAGATGGCAGTGGGCTTCTTAACAAGCTCCCTGATTTCTCTTTCCCCCTTGGGATTTTGTTTCAATGCTATCTTGTCATATCTGTTTTTCTCCAGTTGGATGATGTGCAGGAGCACAAGATGTAATGCTTCTTCAAGAGGTTACCAACCTGCAGCTCCCGTGGCCGTTTCAGACCTCCCCACTCCAGAAGTGCTGCTGTGCAACGAGGATCACTAATGCTCTGGTGTGACGGTGAGAGCCCCTGCCCCGGCTGCCGAGAAGAGGTAATGACCGCTTTGTTGAGGTCTGCGGGCTGCTTGTTTACTCGTCT